CTATATATATATATATATATATTTATTTATTTATTTTCTTTTGTTTAGACAAATTTGATTGGATTAATTAGTACATACCCCCATCCGATAGTCAAGGAATATTATGAGGCGTTGTACAATGTACATGCTGATTCGCCCCAGGCCACAACACTCTCAGTTCATTCAGGCCTATCTCAACAAAATGTACTTTTTTTTTAAATAAAGGTTGTTCCTGTGAAAACAAAATTGACTTGTTTTTACAATAAATGGTAAATGTTCAGTATTCATTATAATATATTGTTTTATTTGTTATTAATTCCAGACAAATGGTTTTACACATATGCATACAATTTACTGAATACTGCCTAAGGGCCGGTTCACACCACAAAGTCCGCGTTCCAGAGCATTCGGACTTTGAACGTGGCATGCTCTGGAACGCGGACTTTGTGGCGTGAACCGACCCCAATTGCCAATTTGCTATTCTGTTTGTAAATTACACAACATTTTGACAGTAGAATGTCCTAGGTTCTATTTACTGTTTAATAGGAGCATCCCAGTACATTTGTTGGGTTGCTAGATGAGATTGTATTAGTGAAATATATATATTTAGAGGCATGAATTAATTAGCACTGTTTTCTTTGAGATTTATTGAATAGGAGGACAGTATATATCACTTCATGTTGCTTAGAAATATCCCGGTGCCTTTTTGTTGCTAATACTGTACACTCCTTAGCCATGCCTACATTGTTAGGAGTTTTATATCATTAAAGTGACATTAAAGGCAAACTTTTTTCCCCCTTCCCAATCCTGCTGTAAGGACTTACCTTAAATTATGCCTACCGATGCCTATCCGATCATCTTCTTTACTGTCCTTTTCAGCTGTCCCTGCAGCGCTGGTGCGGGTCTCCGATCCAGCGCTGACTCCTCTGTCCTCTTCTCTGCTGTCCCACGGAGTCTGTGCGGGTGCACGCTGCTCTATAGGCTTACCTTGTGTCTCTCCTCGTTTCCTGGCCGAACATCTGAGGCCCCGTTCACATTGAGCGGTTCGCTAATCGCGCGTTTGTCGCGCGATTTGCATTTTGTGCGATATCGCGCAAATGCTTACGGCTAAATCCGCTCCAAAAAGGGTCCTGCTGTAGCGACACACGACCCGCGACAGCAGGACCCTTTGCCCAATTGAGAAGCATTGGAGAGCGATATCGCGCAGTAAATTGACGCGATATCGCGGGAATTACCGCGCGATAAATCACTCAATGTGAACAGGGCCTCAAGTGCGCATGCGCCCGCTGCAAGATCCTTTGTGGCCGCCCGAGACTCTTCAGATGTTTTAAAAAAAATGTTTTTGCATATATCTACTGCTTGCTTGCAGTAGATATATGCAAAAACACGCAAGGGTTTAATAACCCTTTAAAGCCATCACACCGTTTATAGATGTCTTATAAACCTTCATTTTTCACATTCATATTTAAGGCAGCCATCACTCTAAATGAAGGTTGATTCATGTGTTGTACACTTTCCCCATCTGCCAGTCATCTCCTTTTACTCTTATTCATCAGTTATTTGTGATGAACACAGTAAAGTAATGAAAGTAAGCCCACCTAATGTTTACCTATACAAAGTTGTAGCTGTAGTAGCAATTGATAGCATTCATTTTTACTCTGCAGGTCGCTGACTTAGGATGCAACGAATGTTCTCTTCTTCACAGACTGAGATTCTGGAACTGCATCGAACTTCTAGTTGGTGTGGACATTGATGAAGACACATTAAGAAGAAAACAGTAATTTTTTTCATCTACATTTACAAACATCAGTGGAGTACATTTAAATTCTTTACATTGTTGTTATTTAGGAAGACAATGCATAAGCTTAATTTCATAGTCCAACTTTTACCAAAATAAAAATAAATGCACACCCATTAATAAAAAAAGAAAATGTGCATTTGTTATGTGTTTGCATTGGACCATGCAGATCATTGCACCCGTGATCAGTGGATTGTAGGTGCTGTGCACCGGCTCCTGCTGACTATTCCCCCTGCCCCTGTCCATACCGAGGTGTTGGCTTTTTGTTACGGGAGGGGAGGAAGAATCAATGGACTACAAATGCGGTGATGTCATTGCACTTGTCCTCCATTGAGAACAACAAATCCCTATGCCACAGTGGCAGATGGAACTAATAGTCTCTGCATTCACAGAGCCTGTGAATGGATGAAGCGGTTGTGCGTGTGGGGGGGCCAATTCAAATATATACAGAATCCTGCAGGGAGAGGAATACCAGGGTTCTGGTAAGGGCTGTTTAAGGTCTGCCTGTGTAGCTGCACAAAATGTAAAAAATTACGGAATGCTGTCATTATATGCTGTCAATTATGTGTGTAACATGAAACATGGGCAGAAAAGGAAACGTAGCCTTTGATTTAGTACAGAGAAGTCTATGGTTCTCATATTATTTTACAAGTACAAATTGAAGCACAGGATGTTATAACTTTTGTGAAACGTGGGGGTGTGCTCAAAATTTTTGTAAAAATTGACTGAAACATATCTTTGCCAAAACAAAAAAAACCTCTTTGTATTCAGGAAACTCTTAATGAATACATCTGTTCATATTGTTTTTCTTATTTAGGCATACCCTTACCCCTCTTCCTGCCCATTACCTGAAACCATTGGAAAGGCCATTAACTGTAATACTATACAAGGGCTCTGTGTGTGAGAAGGACCCTGCTCTTCTTGGGTTTGACCTGATTTCATGCATCGAGCTGTAAGTTTTTTCACATGAGAGTGGAAGGAAGCAAATAACAGCTGTGATTTTCTTTTATATTTGTAATTAGTGTACCCATAGACTTGTAAAGCTTAATGAAACAGACCCTGAGGAAAGAGAGTGGGGCCTCAGAAACGTGTCAGCCATTGTACCATTTACTATGTGGCTGCTGGAGGTGTGCTGCGGAGTTCATGCCTTGCAGGTGGCTTTGCCTATTGACTGAATTTGTTTTTACATGCAGGCTCTGTTTCTTTATGCTTTACATTTGCTTCACTTCTGTTTGTACAAGAGCTGCCAGCCTAGTAGCCATTATGTTCAGTGGAGCATATATTTCCTGTGATCTTTTACTAAATACCTTGGTTTAAGAAAACTACATGATCCAGAACTATAGAATCACTACCTGCGGGGAGAGTCACATTTACACTTCCCTCTGCTTACAGCAGGCATGAGACACAGCAGATGTCACACACCGACACTGTACCGAGAGCTGAGCGATCATGTAACTGCTGATCACTCAGCTCACAGTCTTTTCTCTCCATAGGGAGCTGTGAATGTCAGTCACCGCTCCCTGCAGTTGTTCCCCCCTCACATCTCCATTCCTCCAGCACAGACTAGAGGAACAGACAGGGAAAGGGGCGGGCACAGCTGGTACTGGAGAGGCAGAACCAGCTGTCAATCAGGCAACGGTGTGGTCAGACAATATTGTTGAGATCTTTCCCAGCTGCGGTGCGGCTCTGCATTGTGAGCTGATAGCAGCCAATAGTTCGCTATGTCCTCGCAGGAGTACATTAGTAAATATATTCCTGCGACCCAATAAAGAAGGAAAGCCAAAAAAGGTTTGACTTGACTTCTCTTTTATCTTATGAACTTGTTTTCTCATAAGAATAAAGCAAACTGAACTCTTCGCTACAGATATATACTTCAGCTATCTGCATTATTTAAATCTAGTGCTACCAAAGCATCATGCTATGGCAAAAGGTAAATTAAAAGCGTATCTAAACCCCAATACAGAAATGTCACATTTTGCAGCTTGCCAGTTCTTAGCTGCATTCGTTTTACTTTTGAGGGCCTGTTCACACGACGTCCGTTTTGTGTGCTGACCGACTCCTTACGCTGCTGCACTCAAAATGCATCCTAATGTATCCCTATGTGTTTTATGGGCTCCAGTTCTCACGTGCGCAGTCCGTTCAGCTTACGACAGAAAAAATACTGCATGTCACATTTTGTCCGGTCCGGAAACGGTCAGGAAACGCAAACGCCTCCAAAACGCATCAAAAACGCACTGCACTGCAGCTAACATACTAACAGCCCCACTCCAGCAAAAGCGCGGCCAAAACGTGTCAAAAACGCACTGCATCAGTCTGTAGATCCGCACCTGATCAGGACCTGATATCATGTGAACAGGCCCTGAAGGCTTCAGTTCCCTTTATTTTCACCTGGTGATCCTGCAGATGACACACACTTCTTGTCCCTCCATGTCTACAAATCTTCTCCACTGTATCTTTGATGGGATCCATTGTTGTTATATAGCAGGGGTGCCCACAAGGTCAATCGCGATCTACCAGTCGATCGCGTAGCGATCACTGGTAGTTCGCCATGTCCTCTCCTCCCGCCGCTTCTCTGGATCCCC